CGACATTTCTTCCTAAAAAATTGCACCGAAATTTCGACAATTAGTGCTGATTAAAAAATGGACCAACACCTCATGCAGTGAATCTTCCCTTTCTGCAATGATTTGTGATTACTTTCTACTGGCTTATTCGTTCTGACTTCTTTCATATTGAAAGATATTTTGTAATAGCTTTACCCAGAAATCGAAGAAATTCTATTTATTGCGAGATGATAAACTTATCTGCGAAATGGTTGAGTCTTTTGTCTATGCTCGTTGATTAATTATAAGGGAAGATTCTCAACCTTTTGTAAGATTCTCAGAGGGAGTTTGGTTCTTGATGCACTCGTTACTTATGCATTTATACTCAACAGGGCAGAGATTGTTCACACACGGCCCTATTTTCTCCTGCTTTTCTTGTTTCGTATCTGTAATAATACAATAATTTCTGTTATTGGAACGTATATCCATTCATAAATAAACTAATGTTTCTGATTAGTACAAAATTTTGGCTAGAAATGGAAAACAATGTGGGAATTAAGGATTAACAAATTTGATAGGAAGCCATAGCAAGTATGAATTTTTACTTCAATAATTTATCATATCGATGTTTATCAGTAGTACTATTCTCAGAATTTCTATTTTTTCAAAAAACATTCCTTGTAATTTTAATGGTTGGGGCTTATAGATTATCTGCTTGAGGAAAAGTACTTCAAAAATTTGTCATGTGATATTAACGTATTAACGTCCTACAAGTTTATCAGAATCAAATGTGCATATGATTGTTTTATTCTAAGAATAATACAGTCCAGTGCTTTAATAGTAATTCTGAAGATAGAATACCTGTTGGAAGTGCTGAAGTAACAAAAACTACCGAAATTATTATAAAGATTATTCTGGTAGTTGACATCAGAGAGTGTTGTAAATGGTTTCTTGGAATTGAACTGAACATAGAATTGTGTAATGAAGGGAGATGAAAAATGGGTTTTATACCGTTTTTTTGTTGCTAATGTTGATATTTAAAAAGATTGAGAGAACAGACAAAATGAGAGAATTGAATGGGTATGGATGATAATGATGCAATTTGTTTGATATAGTGTTGGCGAGTAAGATGCTTCTTCTTGTTTGCTTTGATAATTGAAATGCTCGCAAAATGAAGATGCAAAGAGGAGCAAATTGCTGCTCTTATTAACTAACCGATTTAATTTGTAATTGGAAAGCGTTAATTGCTAAATAAATAAGAATTTTTCTTCACGAAGCACAAAAGAGACAGAGAAAAGTTGACACGATCAAAGAGCATCGCTATAAAATCTCTTTATAGTACTGCTTAATTTTACAAATGCAAATTTAAATCAGAATATACTGGTTTCTATTTTCTTTCACAAGAAGGTGTACTAGGTTATAACAATTAATTCATTCTCATAATGGCTGATAAACCATATATTTTGGATTTGTTCTTTTGAAATATATCTGACAGCTTTATATGGAAGTTTTTATTTGATCGCTACGTGTAGTTGAATTTCGCTTATTTCTTTCTCACAAGAAGAAATACATCATATAAAAGTTACAAAAAGAAAATTACGAAATCAACCATTTTTCTTTTTTTTTTTAATTTCAAGAAAAAAAATGCACAGTCTCCAGAATCATTGCTTGGTGAGGAAAAAATAAGCGACATTCAATATTTTAAGTTTTAGATTTAGTAAGTTTTAACTTATTGCAATGTATAACTTGAAGTAAATATCAGTCAGATCCAAAGGATAGTCGAGAAAGAAATGAATTCCATCAATACAAAAACAATATTGAACGAAAGATGCAATATAAAAACTCTTTTTCGACTGTTATTCGAATAAATATGTACATTAAAATTGTGAAACAACATTGCAGTATGTAAATAAACAATTCTGTTCGCAGTCTTAATTTGAATGAAACTCAATAAAATATGAAAAAATGCAACAAAAAGAAGTAGTCGGAGTGTAGAGGACTGAGATTGTTGTTGCGAACAAAGAACTGAAGAATAACATTTACCATCCAAAGATTATAAAATGTTTGTTGGATTATTCCGTCAAGTAGCATCTATTATTCCTAGGGTAACATATGGAATTGCTTGGACATAAGCCTCGGAGACATGGACCAATGCTTTTACCTGAAGAAATAAGAATAAAGAAACCTCGAGAAAGGTTAACTTATTACTTAGAAGAATTCATATCTAACTATTTCACGAATTGGTGCAGTATTGAATTTCTTTTGCTAGACGATAAAAGCAAAAAACTTAATGTTAGAACTTAAAAGATCCTGTGATTTTGTATCAATTTAAATAAAATGTGTTTATAATTAAAACAGAGAAGAATCAGTTCAATGCAATACTATCATCGAATATATTCAAAATTTCTTCGGCATTAAAACCCCGGTGATGTCTTTCTTTCAAAACCATATATTGGACATTTAGGATTGTACGGCAGTGTTAGCGATCTATTTAATATGAGACAATTAATGTATACAAATTTCTCGCCTTATTTTAAAAAACAAATAGCGATCTGTTAAAAACTCAACCTTTAATCTTTTGGCCTTCTTCTTCAACACACTTTATTTTTTTGCATGTGTAGCCTTCAGCACAGAAATTAAATGCACCTAAACAAAATCCTGGCTCTTTCGGTTCTTTTACCTTCGATCCTGAAACTCTTCTTGATCTGATTTTTCACTATATTCCGTTCATAACATATTCGAAGTGGTCTACAAAAAACAGTAACTTTGAAATATTTACTTCATGTTCAAAGATCAGTATCATCAATAAAAAAGTCATGAAATTTTTAATCAGAAAATCAATGTAAGCCACATTAGACAATGTTTTGACTATTCTAAAGAAATTCAAAGATGACAACGAGGCATAATGACAAGAACTATTCTAGGTTTTGTGTTTTCCAAAGCCTTATTTATCTCCGCTAATACTCTTACAAACAGCAATAAAATGTCATACAAATTGAATAGGTATAAGTTATTTAATTCTAGTGCATTAATAAAGTGAATACCTCGTGAAAGTGCATTCCCGGAAATGGCTGGGAAAGTTAAAATTGTAACCACAGTGATGATTTGTATGGAGATAGTGAACATTGTTGAACGAAGAATGGAGTTGCTGAGCTGAAGATGGATAATTGAAGTGAATGAGGAAAAGGAAATCGAAGGAGACTTGACTGAAATTGTTTACTCTTTCTGGTTCAGTTATGAACAGATATGGTCATCAAATATTTCGAGAGAAGGAAGTCGAAGGAATAGGGATGGAAAGTTGGATAAGATTATGTAGTTTGATGCAAGGAGCATCTCAAAGGTCAACGAATATTATGATCAGAATTGCCAGCAATGTAAAAAAAAGGTCATTGCATCACTGCAAAATTTGAAGGAGACAGTAATATAAGTGTACCAACTATATATTACAATGAGATAACCATTTTGAAATGCTTCTAAATATCTTTTCATTTTCAAACCAATAATCGCAGTTAGAAATTTCTATTTCCTGCAATACTTATCGAAGAATATTTTATCAATTTAATGTCACCTGAGAATCTTCATCTAAACAAATGCGCAGAGCACAAATATCTACAAATAGAATTTAAATATCCTCCTGGTAAAATTTCCAAGTATTATCATAAGAACCATATCCTTAAATCTCTTAAACTTTCTTTAGATCTAAAGCATTTTTTTTTCATGCCACTGTGTTTTCAGGAAAATTTTTGAGTAATGTTTTTATTTTTCCAAATTCTGTTTCTTCAATCAGCGAGTCTATCATCTGTTAATATTCGGCTTGTTAACTGGCCAGCATTTTAACCGAATGTTTTGATGACTAATATCAAATTGCATCATATGCTGAGCATTTACTAAAATTAGGAAAATACCTTTTGCGAATGTTTCCGCAAATCATTGAGGATACCAGCCAAATTTTTTTTGACAAAGCAGAAATTTTCTTTTTACAATTAATTTAAGGACAAAATTGATTGCAATATTCTGACCTGGTAAATTTAGTAGCTTGTTGAAATCAGTTCTACAAGATGCAGTGTTACAATTGATGAAGCGATTATTGCTACTCAGCATCAACATTTAATAGCGTTTAAATTCTTTTCAAATTTTTTTCAAACACAAGCATCTTGAAAACCATATTTTAGAAGCCGAAAACTCCCGATCCATTTTTACTTCAGAAATATTAAACTAAACGTTTTGTAGAAACCCATCCTTGACAATGCTATAGCGACGATCCTTAGAATCCAAATGGATAGCGGAAACTTTCTGGCAAAATACTGGGCACTATTTTTACCAGAAACAAAGTACATGTTAAAGTTCAAAGGAAAGGGTAAACAAAGAGGAAAGTGCTCGCTCTATAAATATGCCACAAGACGCTGGATTGCAAATCGGCGTTTTGCATAAATATAATATATGGGGATTGATTTCTTATTAACAATGTTGGTAACGAGCAATTTCATCAACACTTCCCATTCAAGAATCATCTGGTCTGAAGTTTTTCGGTAGGACAATCCAGATAGGATCATGCAAGACGTTTTGAAATATCCATTTATGAAAAAAAGAGAACATGATACTATTACTGTAAAACTGCTTTGAAACACAAAACCCTGCAATAAATTTCACGATCAATTCTACCCATACATGATGACTACAGCATTTGGTAATGTAAGAACAAAGAAACATTTTCAATGCTCCGAAACAGTTTAAAATACTTTTCTCTGTAAGTGGAAACGAATTTTTTTTCCATAAAAAAAGTACAAACATATAATAATTCTAACGGTCCCCACAAAATCGAATGGAATGTACTTTCACTTGGTTGAATACACATTTAAGCAAATTAAAATTAGTAAAAAATTTGAAGAAAAGTCAAATGGTTGATTTAAATAAAATAGTATGCGGCATCCCAAATTATTATTGTTCAGCTTTGTTTTCACACGAAGCGGGTGATCCGACTGATTGCTAAGTAGGGTGATAAGGCGAAACAAACGGTCCAGGAACTTGACAACGATTAAAAAATGGGCGATTTTGCACTGAAGCTTGACCCAAGCGAACGAATTACCTACGTTGGGAAGAAGCTTGGAGAAGAACCCTGTCCGACAACACTAAAAATTACGAATCCTACTTCGGTCCGTGCAATCTTCATTCCTTCATTTCATTTTTCTTCCGCTTTTAAAGTTCTTTCCAGTATCATTCCAAGCGACTTTCAGGATCGGCAGGCGTGCAAAGTGAAATGCACCTCAAACGAAATGTTCCGTATCCGTCCTCCAGTTTTTGCGCTGAAGCCTGGTGAAGAGACTGTCGTCAAGGTTGGCATAGATACCTTAGATAGTGAAATTCTTTCGTCAGCTAAGTTTCTGGAAATTTTTTTGAACTTTAAGCAAAACTTGATGATTCACATTTATAAAGGGAAAATTACAAAGATAACTTTCCAGTTAACTTTCAATGCGGGAAAAACAGTACCCGACAGTGGGAAACACTATTTTGCAGTGTACTATATAAAGGCGACTGACGAGAACAAGGCACCAAGAGCGTGCTGGTCAGATCACAAGGGAGATCCAAATGGGACAAAGAGGTAAAGTGAGCCTAGGCCTTATGATAATAACACAGTTATAACAATGATAGCAAAGATGTTAATTGTTTGACAAGAAATGATTGGAACCACATTTTAGACTCTATGTTGATTTCAAAAAGGAAGAAGGCGATGAAAAGAAGGAAGAGGCTGAGAAAAAGGAAGAGGAGAAAAAAGAGGGCGAAGAGAAAAAGGAAGCTGAGGAGAAGAAGGAAGAGGAGAGAAAGGAGGAGAAGAAGGAAGAAAAGAGAGATGAGAAGGAAGAGGAGAAGGTTAGCTTTGTTACAAAAGCTTGATTTTAATTTGGGAACTTAATCGAAGCTTAGTTTCTTTTTTCATCCTTTCCGAAATTCAGTTTTTTTTTCACTCAATTAATTACTATACTTCTCTAATTAAGCTAAGCTGAAGAGTAGCAGAATCTTAAATAATTTAAATTTTCAAATCTAGAAGACTGATGTGTTACAGAAAGAGGACAAGAAAGAAGATGAAAAGAAGGAGGAAAAAAAGGAGGATGAAAAGAAGGAAGAGAAGAAATGAAATGCTATCATATTTAGAAGGGAAACTTTTGCAATTAAATTAGCAGCGGAATTGCAATTAGTGACGAACTTTCATGATTCTGAATAACTGTAACTAGTTACGAAATTTCATGATTTCTAAAATGTTTAACTCTAATTGGGAAGTAAGCTTTGAACTTACAATCTCCTTCAACGTCCTTTTAATCTCTCAGGAAGGCATTTCTTTCCTCATCCAAACTCTTCCCTTCTTTGATTGAAAATGTACAGTTCACGCACACCTGAATTAATTAATGGATGGATCATGGATCACTAACAACAACAACGACGTACAACGATATCTGCTAGGACCGTCAAATCAAATCTCACTCGCACAACAACTAACCATTTTGAAATAAAATTAGTCATTATTGCATCACGTAACCACTCTCTGTATTATTATGCATTTCATCGCATCTCATCATGCTGCTGCCTTCTGACTCTGATTTCACCCAATATAGATTATATACGTGCACGCTACATGCATTTACAACACCTAACACATGCGTACTGCATGCAACTATAGCATGCATCTCAGTACTGCTTTATACATAAACCCAAACGCAGAGACAAACTAGTATTAATGGTAGGTACAATGCAGTAAAAGTGGCAAATTGAAGCCACTGAGGAAGGCATTCTGGAAGAACAGAACGGAAGTAGAATTGAGGACACAATTGGTGGAAGGAGCTTAGAAGTTTGCCTACTTCACAGAGGTCAAACCGTCTTCCTTGTTGGTCACTTGTCTGGATGGATATGTTCTTAACAGCTTGACAGAAGGACTTGAATGAGACATCCTGTGCGTTGGTGACATCATGACACTCTTCCAAGAAACTTATCAAACACTGCATGCATTTACAGTTGGGAAAGAGGGAGAGTAAAAATACTAGATAGACAAACAATTCTAATAATGAATGAAGTTTTAACACAATCCCTTATTGTCCGTATGTATGCGAACTACTGTAATTTGTCGAAAATGTTTCCACGAGCATATTTCGTCACATTTAACCCTCCGTTACTTTTATTTAAACTTTGTAAGTAATATTTGGAAAGGTGAAGACATCTCCACATCAAGCGCAAAATATCAATTGCTGCAACTACACACTCAAAGTCATCACCGCTATTCTTGACGACAAATTCGCTTCATTCAATTAGTCTTCCACAAGATAGCTCCAATAGTCCAGTGAGTTCTGAATGGAATGCGCGAAATTTACAAATTTTAAATTTTATTCCTTTTGTAATTAAATGCGGTAAGGGAGGTGGTGGTCACGTGTTATAGATTAGGGGTCGCGTAGAAGGGTTGCATATGTCTTTGGTAGCATTTCAGATTCTCGGAAAATTAAGGTAGTTGTTCTATCGATTGATTTGTGACCATGTCTCAACATTCGGATCATTCTCGAAGAGCTTATTCTCAAGGTTATTCCTATTATATACTTTCAAATTAACAGAAATTTCCGAAGTACCGATAGAAATCATTGTTGATAATTAGGTTTATTGGTATGACTTAGTTAAATAATTTGGGAAAAAAATCAGCGTTAAGATTATTTGAATTATTAGACTGAGCAGTTTGAGAGTTTGAAATTTGAGTAGTTGTCAACACTGTCTGCTACATATTGCTATATCAATTTGAAATTCATGCAGGCGAAAATGACTATCAGTCAGAAGATACTGCTGCTGATGTTTTTGAAGAGAACGTTGATTTAGCCGGAGATGGAGATGGTGATGCTTTAGCTGAGTTGTTCGGTGCTGAAGAAGAGGAAATACAGGACGAAGAAGAAGGAGAAAATCTTTTCGGTGACAATTTGGAGCGGTAAAATATATGTCCTCTTTCTATTTCTCCTTGAAGCTAATGGTTTTAAAATAAATTAATTGAAGCAAATTACATATGTTTTATAGAGATTATCGTCCACAGCCAGAGCTGGATGTTTACTCACAATCGGGCATGGATGATGCATCAGAATATACGGAGTTGACGGAGGGAGCACGCCGTGCAGCTGAACGCGAGATGGATGAGCGGGATAACTTGCTGGATGAAGATGCTTTACTTTATGAGCAGGTTCGCTAAGTAATTGCGGTATATTCAGATCTGCCTTAATAGAAGGCTACATTATCCTAACAATACTTCTTTCTTTTCCCAGGATGAATAGATACTCTGCAAACTTTGATGTAAATGATACATAAAGTGTTACATATCTAATTGAAAATATGAATATCCCATTCGAATAGGAAAGTAATTTTCAGATGTTTGGGTATCTTTTAGAGACTGGATCAATTTTCCCATAAAATTAAACCTTTGAAACAATTTTGGTAGAGTCCATTGTATGCCATACATTTGTTTGATGTAGATTTAAAGTCTTCAGGATGACGTAGATGTTGGACGACATGTACACCGCTATTTTCGGAAAGATCGAGTTGATGATAATGAAATGGAAGTTGAAGAGGAAGAAGAAATTCCTATCGATATTTTAGAAAACTTCCGAGGAAGATCGACACGTGAGCATGTTTCAGATGAAGCAGTGGGACGAGAAATAGTAAGGCGGTCAGTAAGTTAATCATTCATAATTTTATCAGCATTTGTTTTTCATTTCTGCACTGAAAGGGTGGAAATGTCAAATGAAATATAGCAAATGGCTGCATTATAAATTAATTCAAGTATTATATTTGGTTGATTATGAAATATCATTTATTTTGCAGCTTTAAAAGTTTTGTTCGTGGATATAAGGACGCGAAGACCAAGAAACTAAAGTATTTAGATGCAATAAAATTAATGGTAGCAGAAAATCGTGAGTCGCTAGAAATCGACTATGAAGATTTGGCAAGTGAAAATGGCGAGCAAAATATTTGTTACTTCTTGCCAGAAGCACCCATACAAGTATGTGTTGAAATTCTAAAAGAATGTGTATTTAAATTTTATTTGTATTCCCAAACTGTCTTATGGAATGAATTTGCGTTTCTAAGCTTTCACTTTCACTTTTCACTTAATGCAATTTACTATTGACCTACCACATTAAAGCTAATTTTTTAATTTTATAGGTGCTGAGTTATCTTGATCGTGCAGTGACCGAGGTCACACTTTCGTTATTTCCGTTCTTCCCTCGTATTGCTCCGGAAGTTAAGGTACAGTATTTTATTCCATTATTATGACGATATGATGAAAGAAATAATGTTTTTCTGTTTTTTTATTTGTCTGAATTTCACCATTAACATTAAAGATACGTATACGGGGGCTTCCTGTTGAAGAGGATATACGAATGTTACGTCAATTACATCTGAATATGTTGATCAGAACATCTGGTGTTGTAACGGTTACCACAGGTTTGCTACTATTATGCAGCTAAAAATTCTGAATTAGCTTATCCCTGAATTAAGTTCTCATCAAATAAAAAATCCGAAAAATGCAAGCCAGGTAATGAAGTCGTAAATTTGTCCCTAATTACTTCCAATTAAGCTTCCAATTTTTATTCAATTTTTGTTTGATACAGGAATGCTACCGCGATTATCTGTCGTCAAATTTGACTGCGGAGCATGTGGTTACCTTCTTGGTCCATTTGTACAGCATCAAGATGAAGAAGTCAAACCTACTATGTGTCCATCTTGTCAAAGCCGTGGGCCATTTGAGCTAAACATGGAGAATACCATTTACCATAATTATCAACGAATAACTATCCAAGAAAGTCCAAATAGTGTTGCTGCTGGGAGATTGCCTAGAAGCAAAGATGTTGTGCTTACGGCTGATTTGTGTGATGCATGCAAACCGGGTGATGAAGTCGTAAGTTTAGGTGTTCCCAGTTATTCTGTGCTTATCTAGCAAATGAATGAAAGCAGTTTGCATGTTCTTGGTATATAAAAAATTTCATTAACATCGGAGCGTAATACTGAATCTGGAAGATATTATAACTTGTTTCTTAATTCTTTTTGGTTCGAATGAGTTATGTTATTTTCAGGAATTGACTGGCATTTATACGAACAATTATGATGGATCAATGAACAGCAAGCAAGGTTTCCCTGTTTTCAATACCGTAATATATGCAAACTACATATCAAGAAAAGATAAAATTGCCTCTGACAGTCTTACTGATGAAGATATTCAGGTTCTAATTTCAAATTAATGTCGAATTGTTTCGTGGAACATTTTTCGACAAGGATAAGATTTATGATTTGGATATGGTATGTTTAGATTATTCGGCAATTATCAAAGGACCCACAGATAGCGGAAAGAATATTTGCTAGCATCGCTCCGTCGATTTATGGTCATGATGATATCAAGCGAGCCATTGCACTGGCACTTTTTAGGTGATTTATTGAATTGAACATTTTATAATGCCAAGAGTAGAAGTGATTAGCAGTGATAATAGCAGTTTCTTATCTCATCTTTTAATTTCTTAATATTCAGAGGGGAGCAGAAGAATCCTGGTGAAAAGCACAGTATTCGAGGTGATATCAACGTTTTATTATGTGGTGATCCTGGTACAGCAAAATCTCAATTTCTACGCTATGCTGCTCATGCTGCGCCTCGAGCAGTTCTTACTACCGGTCAAGGTTAGTTTCTCAACTTTGTATATGGTTATCTTTACATTTCCAAATTATCAAAGTAAAGGAAAGATAAGTAAACAATTTTAGGGGCTTCGGCTGTGGGTCTTACTGCATATGTGCAACGTCATCCAATAACACGAGAATGGACACTTGAAGCAGGTGCAATGGTACTTGCAGATAAAGGAGTTTGTCTTATTGACGAATTTGACAAAATGAATGATCAGGTTGGTTTGCTAGTTTCCAGGTATTCTCTAGAAAAAAAATCATCATTTGGATTGAGAATAAATCCTGTTCAGTTTTGGTAAAAAAACTATAGTTATAGTTTTCTTAATATCGGTGTTCTTGAAGTTTAGCCTCTACACTGCAAAATTTTCGAACTTTTTTTTCGCCATTTCAGGATCGTACTTCGATTCATGAAGCGATGGAACAGCAATCAATATCTATATCTAAAGCTGGCATTGTTACATCCCTACATGCACGTTGCACCGTAATCGCTGCTGCGAACCCAATTGGTGGTCGCTATGATCCCTCTCGTACTTTTGCTGAAAATGTTGATCTTACCGAACCGATTCTCAGTAGATTCGATGTGCTGTGTGTAGTACGAGATACGGTGAGTAGTTTTATCAATTCCATATTTTTATATTTTAATGGGAGAAGAATTTCAGGTAGACCTAGTAGAAGATGAACGACTTGCTAATTTTGTTGTGGACAGTCACCGAAAGCATCATCCAAATGCAAAAGAACTGCAGGAAAAAGAAACAAGACCAGGAAATTCGCAACAGACATCTGCAAGTTGTTTCATTTTCAATGCTATTATTTATTTTTTGAGACATTCAGTTATTGTATACAAATAGTTATTTCAGAATTTGTTTACAGTCTAGCTGTCGAACACTGAGCCTAATTCTCATTTTGCTGAATTGGCGAATCATTGAAGATAATTCACTTTTTTGCTTTAGCAACCAGAAAAGGATCCAGCCACTGGTTTAGAGTTGATACCACAAACAATGCTGAGGAAATATTTGATGTATGCTCGGGAAAATATACATCCAAAATTAGAACAATTGCCGCAGGATAAAATTTCGAAATTTTTTGCTGAAATGCGAAAAGAATCTTTGGTGTGTTTAGAAAAATTATTTTTTTATTCCCTTTATAACTTCTTACTACAACATGTATTTACTACATGTAGAGTTATTTAGAGGTGTTAGTAATAATTTGTTAAAGAAGTTTATAGTTTGGAAACAACTGAATATGAACAATATTGCATTAAAATTATGTCACGGCATCTCTTATGTTTTATTTTGCATTTTCCGGAGGACCAAAGAAATATGCGTCTACCGGTCTGAATTGGCTAACTAGACTGAAAAATATTTCTGCTTGCAAATACACAAAATTTTTTCTTCAATATGAATAAATTTAGGCAACGGGATCGGTTGCTGTAACGGTGCGTCATGTAGAATCGTTAATTCGTCTGGCCGAAGCTCATGCTAAAATGCATCTTCGTTCTTATGTGTGCGATGAGGATGTTGATGTAGCTGTGCGAGTAATACTTGAATCATTTATTAACACACAAAAAGCATCCGTTATGCGACAAATGCGAAAGGTTTGTTATCTTTGGGTGATTAGAAAAACACCACTATGACTTTTAAGATTCCCCTAATGTATTTTAAACTACATTATCTGTTTCCTTTTGTTTCTTTCAGAACTTCGATAGATACATCTTTGTCAATCGCGATCACAATGAATTATTGTTGTATCTCTTGAAACAATTAGTTAAAGACCAATTGCATTATGAACGAGCGCGACATAAAGAAACAGCTCTGTCAGCTATTGGTATTCCTGAATCTGATTTTATTGAAAAAGTACGTTTAACCTTTTTCATTATTTTCCTAACTTCTAAAATTCTCAAAGTTTTTCGAAGAAAAATTTAAATTTTCATTTTAAAATGATTGAAAACAGTAGGTTTTTCAAAGAGAAGTCCATTCGGGAATTAGGAGACTGGATTAATTACTTAACTAAGATACTATTATTGACAAGATTAAAGGCTTAACACATTTGGTTATAAATTTATTAAGCTTTAATACATTGTTACTATGAGATCTGTTACTATGTATTTGGTCCTCCTCCGCATTGTCTAAAAGCGAAAATGTGTCGCTCGTTTCATTCACTTTTACATATACCCTCTTCTAATTATGCTTTGAAGCTTCATGTGTCGGTCATTAATTTTAAAATAATAGTCCATAAGTACGGAAAAAGGCAATAGATATGGAGTTCTGCTATGCTTAAAAAATGTTATTATATTGTGTTGTAATAACTATAAAATTATCATATTTTTGACGAACATCTTTTCAGCTTTTAGCATCTTTTTTTTTAAATATTTTATTTCTGATAATTGACTTTTTTTTCCTTTTTGTTTCAGGCACAACAAGTTCACATTGAGAATGTGAAGAATTTTTATAGAAGTCAACATTTTCTCACAAATAATTTTATATATGATTCCAAGCGAAAACTAATTGTGCACAATTTATAAGTAATATGTAACGAATTGTTTTATTAATACCAATTTATCATTGTCTTATTGGCACGTATTGCTTTGCATCATTTATTCTATACATTCTGTCATGTTTGGTTACAGTTACCATAACTGCTATTGATGTTACAAAATTTCCATTTTCATTCTCTGCGTAATATGAGTTATTCTCCAAGGAAAATTCTGCTTTTTAAATCTTAAATATATGTATATTCATACTCATTTTATGTGTATATGATTATTTTTAAAAACTTGTAAATTGAAATTGCAAGCAATTATGCTTAGGAATTAGTTCTTTCTAAAGTGTCTTAGTATTTCGTAATTTTGTGACGTATTTAAAATGTTTATAGCGTAATGTTTTTTTCTATTGATTGAATATTTTTATAATGTGTCCATACTAATTTTACGTACTATCAGACATGGGTTGATTATTTATATGAGCACTTTGCACATGTAATCCAGTGTAGTCCTCAAAAGAAAGGTAAATATCTCCTACATTATGCATGTTTTCTTAATTTTTCACTCTTCATTTCATTCTCAAGCCCCAGCGTTTATTACCTTGCTTTCTAGGAAATGTCAGAAGTGCTAAAGTAAATTCTCTCATTTATTTAGTACTCTGTTCATTATGTAATGCTTGAATCCTCCATCATAAATACGCAGGGACTTTCTGTAAATCTTATAACATTACTAAAACCTGATCATGGATTCCGCAAAAAACTGCGAAGTGAAATTCTATTCTTTCATTCATGATTGTGGGATCAATTTCTTCTAGTCCTCACAACATTCGTTAATTTTCCACAAACGTTTACAAGACTTACATATACATCAGTAAGTCTTCATTTGAGTGTCATAGAGAATTGTCGCTTACTGGGTTGATTCATCGTCCTATTTACTCCTTGTTACGAACAAGGTTACGAACAATATGCAATACTAAATAAGCAAATAGTTATGAATACCTTATGGAATGTTGGAAAGTGACTTGTTTACTGCCAATAATAATTACGTTTTCTATTATAGTCTTGGTAAAATCAGTAACTAGCCTAATTACTAATTGCCCAATCACACAACTAATCTCGAAATCACGAAAATTTCAGAAAACAAATCCGAATAAAGCAATTACTGTCATGTTATATGTTAAATAGTATGAAGATAAATATTTTAAATACATGCTTAACAATATTCCATTTTTCCATGTATATGCAGTCACGGAAGACTTTTTTCGAAATTATGAATATACGGTCACGTAGAATTGGTTAAAAAATTTAAAGCAAGTTTTCATTTCAACAAACATATTAAAATTAAAAGTTATTCCAAACAATCTATTATTTACCAAGCGCTTTATGTTTATCTCCAGGGTATTTATTTCCAGAGGAATTCGGTAGTAAAGAATCACTGAGTTTAGTAATCTCATGTTTCTTATAAAACTCAATTGTTACTGAAATACAAAATAGGCTTTCGATCCATTTTCCTATCAAAAATTTATTTCAGGAAAGTAACATGAATTCACAGAAAGATAACAAAAGTAAAAAGTGATAATATAGATAAAACTCAGTTGACACTTCTGTCCTCTTGTGTCGTATTTTCCAGTTTTCCTATGAAATTTGTTTGAAACATATATTCTATAGATTGCCACTTAAATGATTAATTTTTTACAACAAGGAAAGAAATATTTCAAATGGCTGTTTCTGTTTTCTCTGTAAATTATTACTAAAACTATTACACAAAACAGTATTAGTGACCACAGTAGAAAATACGTACGCAATGTCGATTAGCTTTTTTTATTAGTTAAATTTTATCATTGAAAATTAGTTAATTTTAGTATCTTAGGATCAGTTACTACTTGTTCTAAGGAAACAAAGAATGCTGGCATCAAATAATCATGATTCATTCTTCCTGGATTTTGCCGCATTGTTCCGGATTCCTACAACATAGGAAAATAAAACATTGTAGAGAAAAAAAAATCCTATTGTAATAATTGCCGGTGTAGTAATTTGTGTACTTTTTCGTTTTCTGAATAGCTGCAAATTAATCTCAAGAATTTCAGTTTCTGACACAGCATTGATTCTTAATCCGTCTTCTGCTGTTTCCGATCCTTCTCATGCATAATACGTTTACACTGATCAGCCAGCTGATGTACGAAATTTTAAATAAATTTTCTCATCTCATATATTATCCCTATCAATTCTTATTCCGTTTTATTTTCCTGGCTCAGTAACAAACAGCACTTAACGAAGGTCAAGGATAGGAAAACAAGACCAAAAGATAGAATTTGAACAATCGCAAGTTTATCAATACTTTTTCTTCGCTTTCACATAGACATTTTCATCTGATTAATTGTCAAAATCTCCCAATAGCTAACCGAGACTTCTGTCTCAATACATTATAAATGTCCTCAATTCTCACATCTCCAAGTTTCAGAAACTTTCTGAGTTGGGAGTGGTATGACTGATCATTCTAGTTCCAAAATTTTAACGCCTCTTGTACATTCCCTTTATTCAATAATAGCTCTGTCGGGAATAAATAAATAAATAGGACGAAAAAGAGAAAATCCAAAAATGAGACATGCAAATCTTGAAAAATTTTTGTCACTACTTTTAGTCTTATGAAAACGCATGAAAATTTTGAATTTCAGTAGTTCATTCAATTAGCAACGTTAGGAAGGCCGACTTTCACTTCACATCTCGTACCTCTTGACGGTGACAGCTTCATGAATCGGTAAACAAATTTAAAGTAGCCTTCAATATTTATTTCTTTTGTAAAAAAGAAAAAGAAAACAAGAACGATCAAGCATATCTGGTAACTGAAATTTAATTTAATACAACCTTTCTCAATCAAAACCAATTCTACTCTTCAATCGAGATTTTGATTAGCTCACTATCAACAAATCACAGTAGTTTAAAACAAAAGTATTTCATCAATTTCGATTACTTTTTTCAATTTTTGCAATAACGATTACCTAACTGAAATTTGTTTCAACTCCCATTCCCACTGCACTGCCACATTCTTACAATCAGCTCAAGTTATTATATTTTATACTAATTAGTGTTTTCATGTATCACTTTATTTTGACATTAAATCAATTAATTTCAGAAAGCTCTGAAATAGCTGCTACATAGTTATCTATTGCTTTTTCCGCATTACTACAAAATTTAAGCATTTTTTACACTTCCTTCGGTGAAGCAAGTCCGAATGGCGAGTACCAATTTCTGTTTCTATTATTTAAATCATCATCCGATCACGTTCCCGTTTTCTCTGTTTATGGTTATCATGAAAATAGAGAATTAGAGAAGACGGGAATAAATGAAAGAAAAGGAAAGCATAAAGACTAGTTAATAATTAAACGATTAGAAATTATCACAATGTCATATTATTCAAGCTTTTAACAAAAATAATTCTCTTTTATTTATCAGATTGTCATAGATATATCCTTACCTTACCAATGCAGTTAATTTCTTAATAACAGCTATTTCCTCAATGACTTAAATTTAAACAAAAAATGAGGTTTGTCTTTCCATATCCTTGCAGAGAAATATTAAATGCAGCCTTCAAGACTTATTCCTTTTGCAAAAATAGCCCTTTTAAGATCTAAAATTAAGGTCAGTAATAGAGAGAGCTTATTAGCTGATCAAATATACAAATATTAATTCACTCGTAAGTTCTTGTACCATTAAAGTGGAAAAAGAGAGGAATTTCTGTTGTTTCTGCATAAAGGTAACCAAGCACGGAGCATTCCAAGTTTCTTATCTCTTATTTTGGGGCATCTCATCATTCTTATTCTGCCCTCTCTATTACTGCCTCGTCCAGTAAAGTACACAGTGTTGAGCAATATATTAATCTATTGTCAGCAAGACAAAAGTTCACTACAATTCGTTAGCCAAAAATTGTGAGCAAGGTCGCAAGCACATTCATTTTTCATTAAATTCCTTGCCAACAAAACAATTTGGAAAACATGAAAAACTGAAGAAAAGATAGGAGGGGATATTTACAGTAGAACATATAAATAACATAGCTGAAGTAACATCATAGCAGCCCATCACCTTCCAAAAAATATTGATCTTCTTCGGGAGCTTTCCATATTAAACAGATTGCCTGAGCTGAGGATTTTTAAAAAGCAGACCGAAATTATTTTCATTTTTCGCTTTTAAAAATTTGACGACTTCGAAACACTCAAAAATGCATCTAAATGCCATTTTAATTACAAGAAATGCAAGAGCAACTAAATTTTGGTAAAAACAATAAATTGAAAACAAAAGTACGAATCCACGGCAACACATATATACACATAACCATTTTCCACTGGCAGGAAAATGAATCAAAAAGAAAGACTTTAGGCAAATGCATTCCTCTTTGAAGGAAAGTGATATTTCTTAGACTGAACTAAATATATTACTAACGTAATCAGATGTTTCTCTTCCAAAAGTTCTCCAGATAAAATAACATGTGTAGAAATACAAAACAAAGCTGGCTAAAACACAAGTTATATTTTACCCGAAAAAGAATCTAATCCGGACTACGAGATTTCGTCAAGTCCACTATACCATTTAGTGTTCCACTGATGTGTTCAAAAACTACAGTGATTAAAAAACAGATGATACAGGCAAAAAGAAGTATGCATACTTATGGGCTTCCATTCCATTCAAATACGTCATTATTAATACTTCAGAATTCAATATTAGAATTAAAATTTCAAAAAATACTGCGACAACAAATTTTACATTTTCTACTTAAGTTACCTTCATAAAAACTAAACACAATACATTTTAGGTCATTTAAAAAGCGGTTGATCAATATGTTTCAATTCTACACCAGACGTATTCTAGTAATTGGGGAACTTAATTGGGCAACTTGAACACCTAAACAGATGATTAATTAGAGAAAAAAGAGGCGAAAAGAAAGAAATGACTGACGTGAGAACAGGGTAGATATGGAACAAGCAATTACAACCGCTTTTTATTTAATTTTTATTCATCATCTATCATTCCCTCTTCATAGCTATCCAA